CTCTGTTGAACTTCTGTAGTTAATCTTTCATTTGACACTGTACTTCTCCATTCCCTAAGTCTTTTTAATTGCACTCAGGGGCACTCAACCACTGAGCCACATCTCCAACCCTATTTTGTATCTTTTTTAGAGACAAGGTCTCACTGAGTGCTTAGCACCTCATTTTTGCTGAGGCTGGCTTTGAACTCAAGATCCTCTTGTTTCAGCTTCCCAAGCTGCTGTAATTACAGGCATACGCCACTATGCCTGGTCCAGTCTCATATTTTCTTTTTATTGATTAGACATAGTGTTATGGTTTGAATCTGTAATGTCCCCCAATGGCTCATGTGTTGAAGCCTTGGTCCCCAGTGCAGCAAAGGTTCAGAAGTGAGCTCTTGGTAAGTGATTGAATCATGAAAGCTCTGACCTCATCAATAGATTAAACTATTAATAGGTTCATACTGAAGTGTAGATTACTGGAGGTTGGTATGCATGATATATAGAAATCTCCATTTAACCAGTAGCTAAACACAAAGCTAACAGCAGGAGCTACATATAATAGGGATTGAAGAATTTGCAGAATTAGTCAAGGAAATAAATTTTTTTATTTTTATTTACTATTATTCGTTTACTGAATAGCTTATTCTTCATATGCACAAAATCCTGTTCATGCCATGTGGCTTTTTTAGAGTTCCTTAAGAATTTCTGTGGTTTTGACTCAGCAATTTCACAGTTCAGGTCTTCTGTTAAAGTTTTTATTCTTATATGCTGCAACTGGTACCACCTCCTCAGGCAGCTGCCATATAAAACTATCATTACTGACTATTTTCAGCAAACATTTTGAAGACAAGATTTTTCCCAACAAGTAAATTTTGAATAGGTCACATAATCCATAACCCATAAAAATGGAGCTCTTTCAAGGAGCTATCAGAAAGATCAGTAGTGCCCTCAAACTGATGATGGGGATTTTTTAAAATTTCCAAAATGGTTCTGCCCTCTGCAGTTTTAGACTGCTGGATTTCATAGCAACCATTTAGCCAATGAGAATGAAAATAGAGCAAATTAAAATGCCACACAGCTTGATGTTCTAAGCAACATTTAGCTCTTTTATAGAACAACTACTTTTTGGATTATTACAAGGCTGGCTAATTTCAAGAGTTCTAAAAAAGTTTACTTAGTAAATTTTGTCATTGTTTTCATGGATGAGATCATTATTTTTTTTGGGGGGGGGGTCCTTACTCTACTACTCTGGAGTCCTAACATACATGGTAAAATATTTTGTTATTCCTCAGTGCTCAAGGTTAGAGGTCCAAACTCTATCAGTCTCCAAAGTTTCCATATGGTTTGGTCAGAGAAATGCTGAGAGCTTTTAGCTTTTCTTTTGTGTAGATAAGTGGCAAAATGTTTTTATGTTTCACAATATTACCTTTAAATGGATTAGATTCTCATTATCTTTTAAAAATGCATTTAAATTCCAATTTCAGTATGAAGAGTAACACAAAATTGTATGTATAACTTACTGACAACAGCTTCCTTTATCTAGCTATCTAACATTAAATAATTGCTGCCTATGGCTTTTTAACCTTATTTTCCCCTGTTAGGCCAGGTTTGGATACAGGAAATTATGAAACATTATCTAGCTATAAAACATTAAATAACATGAATAAATATCAACTTAATTTGTTATTTCTATATAAATCTGAGACTTACAATTTAGGATTCAGGGTATACAGTAACAATAATTATGGGTCTGCATGGGTTAACAAAATTAAAGAATAGCCTTAAATCTCTTACACATTTAGGAAACAGTGTTAATGATCAGAAATTGACTTAGTCTAAGTAAACAAATATAAGACAGATCTTTAAATAACAATGTGGCCTTTGTATGACCACACACAAAACAGAGCACTTACTGGTTATCTTGCTAGTAAATTTACATAAACTTTAATTTTATAAATTTTATATAACACTTATATAAGGCTTAGATGGATATAGTAATCAGATGTACACATATACCTAGTCACTTATGTTTCTGGTGTCAACTATACTATACCATTATAATCTAAATGACAACTATTTGTTTAGCCAGTTATAAATTAATCATTTAAGACTTTAAAACAGGTGCAAACACTAAATTCTTTAAGACTTAGTTTCACTAAGTAATGAGATCAAACAAATGCATATAAAATGAAATTATCTTCATAGATAAGAGTGAACCAATGTTTTAGATTTTTACTTCATGTCAGTACACCAAAGTTGAAATAACTGACTGTGCTAACAAAAGACCTGGGAGGAACACAAACTTCAAAACCCAGCTCAGGTCTTTTCCCTGGTTTGTGAAGTTTGCCGAGTACGTATCCAATTTATGTTAAAATTGATTTACTCATTTTTAATTTAGGTTACCCATGAAAACCAAGTTTAGTTAACATTATAAGTCATTTTTTTCTGTTGAAGAAAAATCCTAGAAGCAGCAATGAACATTAGAAGCAATGGACATTGTACTTAAAATATTTAATAGAAAAGGACATTTCCCATTATCTGATCATCTGGAAAAACAATGTGGATTAGTGATTTTAATGGCTTTATTATCTTTCTTTACCCAATTTAAATTGAAGTTTTGAATCACATGAATCAAAGTTAAATAGATCAATATTTTTGAATTTTGAGCACTTTGTATGTTGATTCTGATATACATGTGTAAACAAGACAGTACTCAGAACAAATAAGTAAAGGCCTTACAAGTTTTAAAACTTATTAAAAGTTAACCCTTGTAAATTTTCCTCTGAATAAAACACAGTGTAAAAAAACTTTTAGGGCTAAGGATGTGGCTCAAGCGGTAATGCGCTCTCCTGGCATTCTCGGGGTGCTGGGTTGGATACTCAGCACCACATAAAAGTAAAATAAAGATGTTATGTCCACCGAAAACTAAAAAAATAAATATTAAAAAATTCTCTCTCTCTCTCTCTCTCTCTCTCCTTAAAAAAAAAAATTAAAAAAAAAACTTTTGTAGTTGGATAAAATAGGTCTGATCAGAAATTTTAACTTAGGTGCACAGAATAAAACTCATGAGCTCAGAATTTTAAAAACAAGAGTCCTAGAAAAAAATGATATGGTCCTGAATTATTTTAGTAAAGCAACATGAGAGAAAGAGGAGAAAGAAAAAAAAAGAAAGAGAGAAAAATAGCTCTAAAGTTAAAGAGACATCTTTTTTTTTTTTTTTTTTTTTTTTTTTTTTTTTAGTCTTAGGCCCCCTGTTGAGTCTGCCATTTTGCATTCCTGTGCTAGCTTCCTCCTGGCCTAGGCCTGGGAAATTGCTGCCTAGGGCTTTTTAGCCCTATTTTCCCCTGTTGGTAATTAGGCCAGGTTTGGAGACAGAAAATTATGAAACATTATCAGTGCAGATGAGGAAGATGGCAGGGTCAAAGAACAATTGGGCCTTAGAATTGGTGGTACTGACAAGTTAAAAGGGAGAGGTATTGGAGTTGTTTTGTATATATATATATATATATAAAGGCCATAGAGGAGGAGAGGGTTCTCTCCTAGTTGGGGACATCCTAGCATTTAGGAAGTTTGGAGAGATAGAGAAGTGAGGAGGCCCAGAGAACCTGAGGGTTCTGAGAAGTCTGCTTGGGGTTTTGGACATTGTTGAAAAGCAAAGGGTTGAGACCTTGGTGAGGTCTAGGTGTGTGCGGAGAGATCCAGTGATTGGTGGAGTCTTTGTAGAACAAGAGGTTAGCGTGATATTTGTAGGTTATTATGAGAGTCTAAAAGTAGGGATTAAGTGGCTGTATATGTGTAAGGAAGTGCTTGCATCAGGCCATAAGGTGCACAGGTAATGATCCAGCACAGTTAGTCATTTTTAGTAGTGAGAAGCATAGCCAGCAGATGGTTTTATTTTGTTTCAGATGTTTGGTTAAGGAGTTTGTAAGTAAGCTTGAGAGTATGGTACAGGTGGTCAATGTTAAGTATAGTGAAATCAGAAGATGCAGAGGGAATAAAGAAGAGTGATATCATTGGGAGAGCAAGGTGGAACAGGAGCAGGCTGGGAAGATTGAGAGACTGTCCATGAGAGCAGGTATGTGGAGGACTAGGAAGGTCCAGATTGGAAGAGCTATGGGGTGCTGGAGGTGCTGGGGGTAGATGTGGGGCATGAGCTGGGATGACAAACAGGGAGGAGACTCATTTGCTGGATCAAAACGTGGGAAGCCTTGGGATCATGGAGTTAAGAATGGTCCATAGAGGGCTTAGTGGCCAGGAAGAGTTGAGCAGGTGAACAGGAAGAGCAGAGGGAGGATTTGGAGCAAAAGAACGAAAAGGGCTAAATATAGATAAGTTCCCTCCATTTTCTGGAGCGCTCACAGAAGTTATGTAAGTCTCCAAGAATGGTTAGTCAGCCAATTAGCACCATTGTCTAAATCATATTGAGGCCTTGCTTGATTGGAGAGAAAAATGAGTTTTGTACCAGGGCCAAATGGAGAGGCCTAAGCTGAGTTAATAAACATCCCAAAGTGAAGTGGGACAGGTATTGAATGGACTTATTACCATGGTGAGTTTACTAGAGAAGGCAAAGAGGCAAGTGTCTTTGAGTCTCAGGCTCCCAGTAGAAATTAGACGAAGAAGCCCAGGGAGGGTCATCATCCCATCGCTGGGAGTTCCAGACTAACCCCAGTAGAAGAGGGCTCTAGAGGGATAACCGACATGGAGGTCTACACTTGGTGCCAAGAGAGAGGAGAGAGAGAAAAAACAAAACAAACAAACAAAAAAAACTAGACTCCATACCCAGGGAGAGACTCACCAGGGGACAGTCCATCTGGGGATCAATTGGCCCATATTCAATGAATGGCTGAGGTGCTCCAATTAAAAAGGAAGATTCCTTGAGAGATTTGAATGTTCCATTTTGATTGAGGGTTCACCAAAGCATGTCAGATCCCTGGAGGGAGAGCAGGGTCGATGGTGAAATGTCCCCCATCTGAGTCACATAATGTTAGGACAGAATGCTCAAAGAATCTCTCGAGACAGAGTTCATGTTTAGAAAAAAGTTTATTGACAGGTAAAACATGCCAGGTTGTCCATAGAGTGGTACAACAGCCAGTTATTTGAATCAGGTTTTTATATCTTTTTTTTTTTTACCAAGGAAAAAGAGCAAGCTGGAAATGGCCTTGAGTGTAATAAGCTAGAATTGACCTTGGGTATAGGTGGTCTGGTAAAGTTAATTCCTGTATTTAGTAACCTTAGGTGGGGGCGGGACATGGAAACAGGGCATCCCAAGTTTCTTTTTCTTGGCAGCTCAGGACCCCGTCCCAGGCAAAGATGTTGTTCCAGAACCAAAATGAAGTCACTAATGTCCAGGATATCCCATTAATTAATCTTCACAATATTATTAACAATCACTATTTTTAATAGATAAGAAAACTAAGGACTATAGATGTTAAATAACTTACAAAGTCATTAATATGTTCTGGGCCACTGTGGGTACTGAACTTTCTCAATTAGTAATCAGAAAGGAAAAGATTAAACTTCTTTACAAAATTAAAAAAAAAAGATTCTTGGATTAGAGTCAATAAAACAATAACAAGAAGCAATCTATCTGCTGTTTATTAAAGAAACAACCAAAACAAAATGACTGAGGTTAAATAAGAATGAATGAATGGCCTGAGGTTTATTAGGCAAAAACAAAGAAAAACAACAAAAGCTAAAGCATTAACATCAAGGCAGATTTTAAGGCAAAAATGCTAAATGATACAAAGAAGCATTTCTTATACTAAAAGCATAAAATATATTAGGTAGATTTTATAAAAAGACATGTACCTTTTCAGGATGAATAATACAAATTCAAAATGCACAAAATCCTCAAAATATAATTATAATAAAATTACACATTTTTCTGAGTATTAGGTAGATCAAATAAAATGTCGGTGAACACAACATCTTTATTTTATTTTTATGTGGTGCTGAGGATCGAACTCAGCGCCCCGCACATGCCAGGCGCTCTTGAGCCACATCCCCAGACTAAATTGTGATACTTTTATACTTCTTCCTAGATGAAGCCATAAGAGAAGGACCATTAAGTAGGAGGGGTGTGTGTGTAGGTGTGGGTATGTGTGTGGAAATTTCAAATTTTCTTTTTTAAAATAATGGTTTGCTGCACAATTCAGTTAACCCTAAATCTCCCAGACTCGTTCCTAGTGGAATTTCCTCTGTTACAGGGCCTGGCCAACGTGGATGGCCCAGGGGGGAGGTTGTTCAGTTGATCAGATCTTCATTTGTCTTTTCTACTTTCTGTGATTCTGTCTGTCCCCTTCATCTTTCAGTTTTGAACATGGTGGGAGAGATGCTGCTGATGGTGGTGTTCTGTTTTCTGAAGGTTTCAAGAAAACGCAACATCAAACAAATAAGCAAACAGTTTCTGCTTCCCAACTCTGTAGAACTAGGGGAGATCCCAAAGCTGTTTTGAATCATACAGATGCTGATGTCTCTGACACTATTTTGGGTGTGGGATTGGCAGTGGGTGACAGAAGTAAATGAAAGGCAAGAAGAAGAGCCAAGCAAAGGGATCTTGGGTCGCTGTTCCTTCTACCATAGTTGTTTTAGAAATCCCAGCTTCTAGCCAGACAATCCCATAATAACTCTATCAGTCTCAGTAGTTACCTTGGGCCAAATGTGGGAAAAGATGCTGAGAAAGGTAATGTCTTTTTGTTGGGTCTGACACACAGTAGAATCAACAGGTAGGGAGAAGTACATCATGACAGAGTGCAGGAGATCCAAAAGGTTGTTTTCAAGGTCAGAAATCCAACACAGATCTCACTGGGTTCAAATCAAGGTTTTGGCAGTGGTGCATTCCTGTCTGGAGGCTCTAGTGGATCATCTGCTTCCTTTCTATTCCAGTTTCTAAAAACAGTCCATTTCCCTTGGTTGTGGCTCTTCCTCCCTCACCCTCTTTTTTATTTATTTTTAATTTTGAGACAGGGTCTAAGTTACCCAAGCTGGCTTCAAACTCAAAATCCTCCTGGTATTACAAACATCTACCAATATGTATACTGAGCAATATTTTGGTCCTCTCAGAAATCTTGATCTCCTGCTTGATTTCAAATCTCAATTTCTCTCTCTCTCTCTCTCTCTCTCTCTCTCTCTCACACACACACACACTATATTCATAATTGCTTTTGTACCTATCTTCCCAGGTTAATCAACCTTTCTCCAATAGTATCACATAGTGTTCTAAAGGCTTATTGAAATTTATTCACTCAATTACTATAAAATACTTTCCGAATAGATAATGAATGGAAGGATAATTCTGTCTAATTCAGTATCCATTAGCAACTTGTAATTATTGAGAAACTGAAATATGGCTAGGCCAATGGGCGGGGCACATGCCTATAATCCCAGTGACTATAGAGGTTGAGACAGAAGGATGACAAGTTTGAGGCTAGACTCAGCAACTTGTTGAGACTCTGTCTTGACATAAGAAATTTAAAAAGGCTCGGGTGTAGCTAAGTAGCAGAGCATTCCTGGGTTTAATCTTTAGTATTGGGAAAGAAAAAAAAAGGAAGAAAAAAAAAGAATGATAGAACTGGATAAGGTGGCACATGCCCGTAATCCCAAAGACTTGGGAGGTTGAGGCAGAAGAAATACCAAGTTCAAGTCCACTCTCAACAATTTAGTGATGACCTCAGCAACTTAGCAAGACTCTTGTCTCAAAATAAAAATAAAAAAGGGCTGTGGCTTTGTGTTAAAGTACCCCTGGGTTCAATTCCCAGGCTGGGTCAAGCTGAGAAATGTTCTAAAATCAAAAAAACAGACACTTTGGACACTGCAAAAAAAAAAAAAAATTCTCAATAATAAACTTTATATTGAGTACATGTTGAAATGATAATATTTTAGATACACTGGGATAAACATAATTGAAGTTAATTTCATCTGTTATTTTACTTTCTTTAGTGTGGCTATTATTAAATGTAAAATTACATTAATGTGATGGTCATCATTATACAAAATACATGTATGAAGATTTGAATTTGGTATCAACATACCTTATATACAAACAGAGATATGAAAAATTGTGGTATATATGTGTATTAAGAATTGTAATGCAAAAAAGAGAGTTCATGTATAATAGCATAATTTGGTGTAAACATACTTTTATAGAGAGTTATGAAAAACTGTGCTGTAAATGGGTAATAATGAGTGTAATGCATTCCACTATTGTCATGTATGTAGATTAAAAAAAAGGATGGATCAAAAATATATAAATAAACCCTTATTTTTTGTATTTTGAAAAGGAAGATTATAAGAAAAAAAAAGAAAATGTAAAATGTCCTCACGTTTCTGGCTCATACTATATTTCTATTGAACAGTACTGTTCTAGGGATAACTACATGAACGTGAACAAGCAGTTCTATCTTTCAAACTGATTTTAGTCTGGTTAATAAAAACAACAAACAAAATCATATACATAAACATACAGACACACATGAACATACTCATACATGAATATTGTATATAAACCTAGGGAAGAAGAGTAGTATAAATCTTAATTCAAAATTATTATTTCCATATTAATGAAAACTTTGCTTATAAAATACTGCCACAAAATTTAAATAATGAGGTTGAATGATTTTTACAGATATATACATCTTTTTCCCTTACCAAAAATTATTTGAGAAATATTTCAAAATGTAGAAAAGTAATCAAGAGTATTATAATAATAGTTCTTTTCCACCAAAAAGAACTGATGGTAGTTTTATATTAACTTATTTAAGTCTTTTATTAATAATAAGACAGTTAAAGTTAAGGTAACTTTGGATATGTTTAGGACTGGGGAGAGGGGAAAGCTGGATGGATATAGGAAGGTTTGTATATAAACTCTGCATGTAACTAAGAGTTTCTTACTTTGTGGTTAGCACTAGACTAGGAAAGGAGTTGAAATCTGAAATAGAATGGACTGCACTGTTTCTGTACAGATTTTTTTAATCACAAGAAAAATTAAATTTTACCATTTATTAAAATACCCAGAGTAAGAACATAAGGTTTCCACTTATTATAACTCCATTCCTTCTTTTATTCTTTGTTTTAAACATCTGTATTTATAAATGCCTTGGAGGGGTGGGACATTGAACAGAAATCTTTAAAAGAATTATTTTAGTAATTCAATATTCATTGCTGAGTGATGCAACTATTGTCGACTTTGTTATTTTGTTCTTAATAGGCTTCTGCATTTTCAAAGAATCTATTATAAGCCAGGCATGGTGGCACAGGCCTGTAATCCCAATATCTCAGGAGGCTGAGACAGGAGAATCACCAGTTCAAAGTTCAGTAGAAGAGAGGCTAAGCAACTCAGTGAGACCTTGTCTCTAAATAAAATACAAAATAGGGCTGGGGATATGGCTCAGTGGTCGAGTGCCCCTGACTTCAATCTCTAGTGCCTAAAGAAAAAAAAAAATCTATTATAAGCAATCATTTTATAATTGTAATGCTATGAGTAGAAAAAAACTGGCACTAAAAATTAAAACTATAAAAGAGTGAATATACTAATAATCCTAGTAACATTGCCCTGCTACTAAGAGACAATGACTTTGGTCAAGATGAAAATTTTTTTAAGAGTGCTTGATCTTTTCATTTCTAATTATGTATGATTAATTTCTATGGTCTATTATATCCATGGCTGGTAAAATTTTTAAAAATGGCACTGTCTTTGGAAAACAACTGAATATATATATTATCTTTAAAATATTAAAATTACTTAAAACGGCTTATATGGGCTGGGGATGTGGCTCAAGAGGTAGCCCCCTCGCCTGGCATGCGTGCCGCCCAGGTTCGATCCTCAGCACCACATACAAACAAAGATGTTTTATCCGCCAAAAACTAAAACTAAATAAATATTAAAATTATAAAAATAAATAAATAAATAAATAAATAGAACGGCTTATGCCTTTTACCCCAGTATTGCCACTGTTCAAACATTTTCCCAAGAGGGGAAATACATGTGTGTATACACACACACACATATATATACATATATATACACATATATATAAAAAATTGATCATTGAATCTTAGGTACAATTGAGAAAGTTGGTGAGAGTAAAAAAGAAAAAGTTAAACTACAGTGCATTATAAAAAGTATAATAAGGCATTCACAGGTGCATGCAAACAAGGCTAATTCCAACATATATTTCCCAAACTTTGGATGCTATTCAATAAAACAGCTCATCTTTGTAACAGAAATTATGAAATAAAATAGACAAACACGTATGCAAGGCTAGATGAAGGATAAATTTCGTGTGTTTATGCCATGATTATTACATAAAAAGTTAATATTGTTAAGTATAAGGAAAGGAAGAGAATACGTGAAAATGAATAGCCTTTTTTAACTGGGGTAGGAGGATTGAACAACTCTCTCATGAACAATCTTGGGATCCACGGAGGCATTATACAACTTTCTACTTTTACTTTCTAGCTACCATCATTTTAAATTATCCAGTGTTATGTGATCAAAAGCATTTTCTTCCCAAAAGCCCCATCTGATAAATACAAATTAGAACTAGTGTTGTTTGTAAGCACGCTATTACTGTCCTTTATATTTAAAAAGCACTTGAATTTTTTCCAGAAGTTCCAGAATTAGAGAACTGAGTACTTGCAAAGGGATAACCAGAGGCTAATTTGAAATAGCAACCAGAAGCATACGAGCGTCAGAAAAAATAGTAACATTGTATTTGATCCATAATTTTCTTTATTAATCTTAAGTGCTTTCTACTTCCAAAGTGATTTGCCCGCAACTGTTATTAGAATTGGCCTAGACGCCTGCACTTCCTCAGTGCTGCCCACAGCAGCAGAGTGAACATGGATGGACACTGACACGCACTTACAAGGAAAGATTCCTCCACTCTTCCTCTCATTTACTCACTACGCGATCTGCGCGGGGTCGGTGTGTGGAAATACTGTAGTATTGTGTACGCACTTTGAAGCAGCCAAGGGGTAAATAAATATCAAAACTGAAGTATAACCCAAAAAAAGGACGCAGGGTCGTGGAGGGAGGCGGAGGGGGCGAGATGACCAGCTCGCTGCAACAGAGACCACGGCCAACAAGGACCACGGCCAACAAGGCGCGACTCCAACGCGGGCAGCCCCTCAACCCCTAGATACCTTCAATTTCTCCTCTTTGCGCTTCAATCTACACTTGCCCAGCATACACCTCCGACCTCCGCTGTCACTCGAGGGAGCCTGACCTACCCGCCGGGCAGCAACAAGAAATCCCGCCTCCTCCTCCTCCACCTCCGCCTTTTCTCTTCTCTACTGCGCCTGCGCGACCGGAAAATTCGCGAAGGTTCCTGAAGCGGAACCGGCGGTTTCCGGAAGCCGGCAGCCGCCCTAAGATTCAGGTCAGCGCTTGCTACAGCAGAGTCTGTCGCACTGTCCTGCGGTTCCCGGTGTTTGGTCCTTGCCTGTAACGGTAGGAGAAGAAGATGGCCCTGCTATGCTATAATCGGGGCTGCGGCCAGCGCTTCGACCCGGAGAACAATTCGGATGGTAAGAGAACAGCGCTGCCAGCTCCCCCTCTCACCACCCAGAGATCTCGCGGGAGGCCTCCGGGTCCTCCGCGAGCCGCGGTGGCGCCGCGCGGGCCGGCGCCCCTCCTGGGCCTCCGCAGCTGCTGGAGACCCCGGCCGCCTTCCCCTAGTTCGGCGCCTAGCGAGCGCCAGCACCCGGCAGCCTTCTTGCACCGGCGAAAACCCTGCCCCGTAACTCCGACTGGATCCACGTGTCTCCGGGTCGACCCTCACTCTCGTATTTCGCCTCCAGTTTTGAACAAACACTCTTAACCTGCGTTCCCGCAGTCTCCTTTGGAAGTTAAAAGTTAAGGAGCCCTGCTAGCTTGCTTTGCGGTTCCCCTAGTATTGTTGACCGTGATTTCTTGGGCAGAGTGCGGGTATAGGGAGAGAGCAAAAGGAAGAGCGATGGGCAGCCGGTTAGCCTAGCATTTAAGTTTTGCCTCATTTTTAGTAGAGAAGTTTGTCTTGAAAGTCTGCTCTACCAAAAAGTTTTCTTTGGTTAGAGAAATTGCTTGATTTTTCTTCTCTGAGTTTTGACACAGCCGCCGTGGTGGCACATTTCATTATCCTTTGCAAAAGAATTTGTATATTCTTTGCAATAACCTCTTCGTTTTAATATGCCATTTTCAAAGTGCCCTAGCGAAGTATCCCTACAGCGCTTAGGTGTAGAGTTCCAGATGTAAAATGAAAGCAACTACACTAGGTTAACGCTGGGAAATAACCACCGAATCTTAATTTTGATTCTTAAATGGAAGAAGGAAATAAGCTGATTCCTTGAATATTATAGGAAATGATAGTGCTTTCTTAAATTCAGCTAGCATTTATTGTGTTTTTTTTTATCCCAGACATTATTCTGTCACTTTACCACAGCAACTCTGTTAAGTATGTAGTAATAGAACCATTTAATAGATCAAAGGAATTCAACATGACAGTAACGTGGTTCGGCTTTGTGAAAGAGATTAAGGTATTTGAAATCTTGGCAGGCAGGTGAATTGGTGACATCATTTAAAATAAGATCATTGGTGCAAGCTTTTAAGGAAAAGATAAACCCAGTTTATGCATACTCAAGTTACTGTCCTTGACATTTTTATAATATAAACATGATATTACCCAAAGGGAATGTCAAGATGTTTCAGTGGGTAACAAACTTGAGAAGAGGAATTTTTAGTGTCTAATGTTGGTAATGTTGATCGCCTTGTGTAAAAAATGAATGGTGTTTTTAGGAAGTTATCTTTGGATCTTCAGCTCAGAGGAGTTAAAAACTTTTTGTTGGAAGTCAGTGTGTCCATGTGGAAATGGTGCTGTTCCTGAAAAAGAAGAGGGGCCAGGAAAGCCAACAGTGTAAACAGCCCCATGGATTAGTGGGCAACAGTACCACATGCAATAGGAAATTCCAATAAGATTGGTGAAAGTTTATTCACTTAATAAAAAGTGGGAATTATTTTTAGAGACTTTGGATAAATAGGCTAAGTAAATTGGTTGAGTAAATGGAAGATCAAGGAGATGATAGTAAGGATTAGAAGATAACTAAAAACACACTGTAGACTTGACAAGGAGAGACTTTTTATAGAATATGAGAGGATTGACCTTGTACGATAACTAAAATGGCATATTAAATGGGTAAAACTGAAGGTACAAGCAAGTTCCAAGTTATCTCTTGCATGGAGCTAGATGGCTGGTTCCATCATTCTTTAAAAAATCTTAATCTACACGTTTCTTGGTGGTGTGGCATAATTATCATGCTTATTGATTTCTCTGAAGATTTTTTCCCTCTGAACAAAAATCAGACCCTATTCTAAGATGATAGACATTTTAGTTTGTAATACAAATTTAGCAGGTGATTAAGTAAAAAAAGACATGGTTGGTGACTTGCATATATTAAAATACTTTAGGGAAAAGCAAAACTTTCAGATAGTATTTTATTTAATCCACACATATGAAGAAACTGAAGAGCAATACAATAAGAATTTTAGCCAGGGTCAGACCCAATATGAAAAGCTCTTGATAGCTAACCACTGTGGTGTTGTAGGTTCTTAATCTATAAAATTTGATTTGAACAAAACTGGCAAGCCTGATAAAAGCTAAAGAAGAAAATGTCCATGTGCTTGTTAGTAGCTTTTGTAAACAGTGATTTTCTAATTTTGTCCATACTAGTTATAGGATTAAGATCTGAGTCATTCCTGCTGCCATTCTGCCAGAACTGACCATTGTTAAGACGACTATTGCCTCAGACTATTTATATTATACATTGTAGACTTTATGTCTGTACATTAAATTTAATATTAATCAATACCATATTTCTTCTCTACTTCTACTCCCCTTTCAGTTTCCTGTCCTGCATACACATTTCAACTGCCAACTTTCTTTTTCATAATCTCTTCCTTGGGCTTATTTGCTGTACTAGGAAAATACCTAACACTTTCTGACCACATTAGTATAGTATTTATATAACACATGGTTACTAATTAAGTAATATTGGCTATTAATTCAGGATAAGGAAATTGCTCTGGGTACAAGGAATTAATAATTTTAAGGTAACAGGAATCGGGTAGAGGATGGAAAGATAAACAGACTAACGAGCTTGAGTGAGGTAACCTCATGAGAAAATTACAGAGGTGCAAGTTGACAGTTTCTCTAAGTTCATTTGCTATCTAGCTTGAGAATAAGTGTGTCTATATTATCTATTATCTATTTTTTTACAAAATATTCTACATTGCTAATTGTAATAAATAAATTTTTTTAAGAGAGTTAAGTAAAGATTGGTGCCATAATGGGGTTGGGAAACAGAAGCACTGAATGATCATGACAACCCCAATGAGTGTAGGATTTACACTTTTTTTTAATGAGGTTTGTACCTAGGAATTGATAACCTGTTTAGGACAGTTAAATTATAGTTAGATATTACAAGTTGTTTAAAATGTGGATCCTGTTCTTCCAAAATATGTTTTGGGGAAATCTCTTGAGCAACCTTTATGGATCAGTGCATGTAGGTACACTTAAGTTTAATAGTATTTTTGTAAAAACAGAATAGAAGTATGTTCATAATCTTAGGCATTGAAGTTTGATAATAAACAAATTTTACCACAAAGATTAGAAGAATATAGAATATATAATGTTATTAATCCTTAAACTGTTCTGTATTTGCTTTTTTCCCCCTCAGAATTTTTATCTATGGGCATCATGCTCTTGAATTAAAATCTTAACAGTTACTTATATAATATAAGGCACTTTGTGCTGTGCATCAACCAAGCATTAGTGAATTTTCAAGGATCTTCAGTGTTATGTACATTTGGAAAAGGAATTAAATCTTAGCAAACTGAAGGAAATAGTGTTGTATGCATTTTTCCTACATACATTGTAAAGAATGCCTTATTTTTTCTTTTCATTTTTGACCAGATGCTTGCACATATCACCCAGGTGTTCCAGTCTTTCATGATGCATTAAAGGTAGGAACTATATATATTTTCAGTTTCTTCCTATTTGTATAATACATTTAGAAATGTAATAGTAAATATTTTCTCATCTTTTTTTACTGGCATGTCTGCTTTTCAAATGACCATTGTGGGGGGCTTTATGTGTGTATTCCACTAAAAGCAAAGAAGACAGTGAATGATGATGTTTACCGGTTATAAAATATTTTATTTGCAGTCCAAATCATTTTCCTAATGATTTCTTTACTTTCTAATTTTGAAGGGAAATCGAAGCAGTTATGATGAATCTCGGTCTTTCAGTTTATCACTGTTGGCCAATAAAAAAAGCTATGAACTTTAGGACTGATTGTTACAAACATGCTAAGTTTAGAATATGTTTACTTAAGAGAGAAATTACCAGTTTTTCACCTGTATTTCCTTAATGTTCTGGAGAATTACCAGAAATAATAGAGTGTTTTCTGAGCATATTTTTTATGATAACTTTAAAAAAAATGAAAAACGGATACATTTGAGGAGTTTCCTTTGTGTATCTAAAAGAAAATGCTTCCTGGTGGCTGTCCTGGTTTTAGGTACTACTGCTTTTATGCTGAGGAACATAAATAGCCTTATATGTTTAAATGTTGTTGATTTCTTTTGAATGTTCTGTTGATCTTCCAGAAAGCAGTTGGACTCTTTTGGCATTTAACTGACGCACAATCAAATTCAAAGTTGTATAGTAAATAACAGTTTTATGTTAGCTTAGTTCTGAGTGAGGAGAACAGAACTTCATTAGGGCACTTTGAGATTTAACTCTTTTTACAAAACTTGATGGGGATGAAAACTGTGTTTCTGTGGGGATATTTATTTTGCTGGTGGGGGGAGGAAATGGGGATTTTTCTCTTTTCTGGATTGCCATTTATTGATTATTTTTCTTTTATTTCTTTTCCCCCTATACTATTTCCTCCTCTCTGCTAAAAGTAGAAATACTTGACTTTGCAATCTTTAGCTTCCTATTTTTTCTCATTCTGTTTATTTACTCTCCAATGTCACCTCTGGGCTAATGATTTTTGTAGCATATCTCCATTCATGTATCTGTTCAGTTAGTTTCTAAAGCGAAGTAATTTTTTTGTTTCTCAGTTTTGTGGTTGTACTGTTTATTATTGTCTCTGTGATATTAACGCTTTTTGTGGACTTAGACTTTCCAAGATTATTGGATTTCACAACCCAGACTGTTTGGGTGAAATTTGTGCATCAGTATAAAGTCACTAGTTTTCTATTTAATCAAGTAGGAAATTAAACTTGCAAAAGATAGGACATTTTAATGTTAGAAGA